TGAGGGGATACGAATTAAGAAGTCAAAACAATTGCGACGTGCTTCCGCACCATCTCATGGAATGGCATTTGCCTACTTTTCGGCGCCATCTTCCACTTCCATACACTACTTTGGTCACCAGGATGGTTCGAAAAAATCACAAGACGTTCGTGGCAAACATAACTTCACAATACCTTCTGTAAATGTGGAACACCATGACATAAGTGATAATTCCAACATGACGACTACGTCATCGGTTACATCAGGCAATCTACCTTCACTATCACCATGCTCCTCGGCGTCTTCTCTTAGCTCATTGAGTTCCACTGTTCAACAACCTCCCGGGAAGGTGCAATTCTCGTTCCTTCCACAACCAGTCCATCAACCTTATCCGATAAGATCAAAAAGTATTTCCGGCGAAACTCCTTACTCATCACAAGCGTACTCTTTACCGAACATGGTATCTGGTGCTTCTTACGATCGCGTCCCCTGGTCACCTGCCAAAGATTTTTTGGCCAACTTGGCGGAGTCTACCCTAGCTAAACCGATGCCCGACGATGAGGGTCAACAAGTAGGAGAATACATCATCGGTAAGGTGATTGGGCGTGGCGGTTTTTCCACCGTCAAAGAAGCCATAAGGATGAACGACTATTCATTGGAAAAGGTTGCCGTCAAAATTGTGAAAAATGACTCGGAATCTGATCATAACGATCGCATTCAGGTAACTATTCAAAGCACGTCGTGTGTGATATATATTTATTTATTTTCGATCGATATCTCAATGTTGTCATCTTCTCTTTAATCAACAGTCACTACTCCAACGAGAAATCACGATCTGGAGTAAACTCGTCCATCCAAACATTGTACCAATGCTATCAATGATAGAAGATGATTATGCAAGTTATATCTTCTCGGAATTCTGCTCAGGGGGTAACCTGTTGCAGTACATTAAGAAGCACGGAAACGGAAAAGGGTTGGACGAGGACGAAGTTCGTAACATATTCCTCGAAGTCGGTGAGGCTGTACGATACATGCACAATGATATGAGATTGGTGCATAAGGATATCAAACTGGATAACATACTATTGGACGACAATGATAACACTTGGAAACTTTGCGATTTTGGATTGACCGAATTTCAGAATGATGCTAATGGTTTTGGCGAACTTTCCTCACTCGACGACGTCGCCGGTGGATCATTGGCCTATTGTCCTCCGGAACAAATTCGATCCAAGGTACCATTGAAGGTTCCAAGTGTCGACATATGGAGTCTTGGGGTTGTCGTGTATGCGATGGCCACAGGACAATTACCATTCATGGATGAATTCGAGCCTCGACTGCAGTACAAAATCCTAAATGGACGATACGATGAAACACCGCTACACGAAGCGGGGGTCAGTGACGAGCTGAGAGATCTATTGAAGTGTATGTTCCGAACGAAACCCACCGATCGATTAAACATCACACAAGTATTAGAACACGCATGGTGTCGACGGTGAGCTGTTCGGTCACCATGATCTAAAAAAATGATGCATTTTTTCTTTATGTAAAAAATTTTTCTTCATGGGTATGGGGCGCTCCGACGAGATTATTTTTTATACTTTTTTCCCGTGTACATTTTTTGTTTCATATATTCGATTTCCGTGATGTTATCAAAGTGTAGAAAGAAAAAAAGACCTTGACTTTTTACAAAGACGTATCATCAATTTATTCATCTACCCCTTAATCTTAATTTTGTATTTTACCATTCACCCATTCTGTGACTCTCCTTTTTTTCTGACTTTCCCCCTCCCTGTACATTTCCATCCTTTGTGCATAACAAGCACGTAATGTTACCCCTACCCGTAGCATATATATATAATATCCATCCTCACCCATATACAGTATATATATAATACATTGAATCATTTTTTTTTTTTTAGCGTCTTGCAACCTATAATTACAAAAAAAAAACTTTTGCATACGTACAATAAACGTGTGCACAAATACAATAATAACAAAATAAAAAATAAAAAATATATTACTTGAAGTAAAACAACATTCACTTGTCATTTTTTTGGTCAATCACTAGAGAGAGTGTGTGGGTTTTTATTGCATTTTCATGCTACGTACGATCACCAAAGACCACGTGCCACCTCACCTTCATCTGAATCCCATAATCTCAACCAATAGCAGAAGTACTCGATTCGCGTTCTTTTCTCATATCAAGAATCAAGACAACTTGAATATTTTGCCTAGTCATCGACATTTGCTTAATTATTTTCTTTTTATTTAATTGGTGATGTATTGTGGATGGCTACACTAATCAAGTTCAGATTAATTGAAAATTACCGCATCCACGCCAGATAACTAGTCATACCCATTGATTTTTTTGGCACTAATTGTGGTGTACATCTCTTAACAAGTGAAATTAAGTGTGTGAAAGAAAATTCGGAAACCTCTTCACCATCAACAAATAAATAATGTTTTTTTTAGAATACATTTCAAGTGTTTGATGGTCATTTTGACCAAGCATTAGTGTTTGCATAATAATAAGCTGGTTCGCCATTATACCCGCCTCTACGTATAGTGCCACCCCGGGTGTTATATCTTCCGCGAGAATTACTTCCGCCTCTGTAATTCCGGGGAGCATTACCGCTGCTATTATGGCGACCGGCATGAATCTCCAATTTATTTACACCGACACTTCTGTCATGCCTTACCGCTGTCTCGTTATCTAATCTAAACAAGATCTCATCGATCACCTGCTTGTTATAAGAATCAACGGTAGGTTGTGGTTTTACTCTAATTATTCTTTCAATGCCCTCTCTGTGTTCCGGTAATTTCATCCATTCCCTAAATTTTCCAAGAATTTCGATGCCCTTCTGTCCCTGTACTTCTGTAGGATGATTTTCCCTCATGTTTATGCGCGTTGAACATTCCTTTTTTTTACAAAAGTTTAAAATTTTTGAGAATGGAAAAAGAAGACATTTCTAAATGTTAGATGTACCTCCATGGAAGTATCCATTATGATGGCATCAACGGGGACATCAAATTTCCAAGCTATTTCGATCCATGTTTTTCTTTGATTCTTATCAAAATTAACTCGGTCCACTATCACATTCTTACCCTACGTAATGAATCACATGTGAGCCATGTTCGGCAACAAATTCAAACGAACATGGCACGATGATACCTCTTTTAATTTGGCTCTGGCCAAGTCCTCGCAAGCCTGTCGACTGCCCAAGTCATCTTGATTAACCCTGTACCAATTCTGTCAATGCACTTTAAGACTTAGTAGAATCATCCCAAGAATGAATTTATGAAAAAAATATTTGAGAACCCACGTCAGGATAAATTTTACATATATTCTTGGCCAAAGTTGATTTACCTAATAAAGTCATAATTAACTTAAATCCTTGTTAATTATTAATGAACGTCGTTGAGCCTTACCGGATCCAGGAACACCAATAAGAATCAATAACCTAACTTTCGATCCGACTCCACTGGTATCCTCTGCAATTGAGCTTTTTACGACGGCATCCTGGTTTTCGTTAGCTGTTTCAATCGGTTTTACATCGTCCACTTGTTCATGATATTTTGTGACTTCTGAATTCATTATAAATTTTCTTGTGTATATTTCCAATTAAAAAAACAACCAATTCGTTTCGTTGAAATATCAATAATGAAGAAGAAGATGTTTGGACCTCAGTTCAAATGGGGTCTACTTAATTTATTCAAATTGGGGGAGTAACGTTACTGCGATTTTATCTGTGAATGTGTCCCGTTTTGGGTGTGCACGAAGTTTAATCACTGTGGCCAGACTTATCCGGAGTCGAATTTCTATTGATTCCATTGCACCGCCGCCGTTATTGTAAAAAGGAGGTATAACAGATTGTTGCGGATTCGATTTGTATTTAAAACAATAGCTCAATTTGCAATAATAGGCTGGCATCGGTCGTTAGACCGATTTCTTCATCAATTGAATATTTTCGCACACAAAACGGGGTTTTTTTTTTTTTTAAAAAAAAAAAAAAAATTTTGCCGATTTTCATATCTATACTGTATGTGCCGCATATAATAATTATATGCATTTTTTTTTTTTTTATTTTGATATATAAACATCAGATCAGAATAAAATACTGTGCCATAAATAAAAATTGAAATTTTAATACTTTAATCTATTTTGAACAAATTTTGTTAATAATAAATCACTACTTATAAAAAATATAATTTATTCTAAAGAACAAGTTTACTTGATCAAAATTTCAAAAGAACTCTTTTTTTTTTATTATATTAATTTTTTTAAAAAAATTTTCAAACATCAAGTTTTTTTATTTCATTATTCAATATCTATATAATTTTTATTACAACGTCTTTCTTTATTTAAAAAACTTGTAAAAAAACTATATTGGTTATTAACATAAAATCCTTAATTTTTTTTAAAAAAAGATTGTAACGATTGTTTTTTTTTCTAAAGTTTTTTTAAGGTTTTTTATACATGTTTATATTTATTTTTATTTTTTAAACATTTTATTATTGAAAAAATATTTTCTAAATTACAATATGATTCTACTTTTTTTTTTATATAATTTTTTTATTAATATAATTTTTTATTAATATTACTTTATTAAATAAATAAATAATTTCAACAAATCCAATAATTTTATACTGTATATACTGTAATTGAATCACTTTTTATAGCATGTAATAATTCTTTTAAAATCAAAAATCCTATTTATTATTAATATTATATGTAATATCGGAAATTAAATAATTTGATAAGTTTAACAAATGTTAATAATAAAAACAATTATCTGAAAATTTATATACCTTATTAAAAAATAATATAATATTTGTTATTGAAAAAAATGAATCTTTATATTTTTAAAATTTTTTAATTATTTTAAAATTCAAAAAAAAAATTAATATTTTAATAATAATAATATATTTATTTTATTATACTGTATATATATATTAATAATTATTAATATTTAGATAATTACAGATTTATATGTAATTTCAAGTATTATCTATATAATACTATTAAAAATCAACAATTACTTTTTAAAAAACAAACTTATTTTTTAATTAATTAATCTTTTTTTTTATTATTCTATTATACTATTATTTTAAAAATCAAATTAAATAATCTTTACTATATCTAACAAAATAATTATCAATAATATTAGAATCTTCAAAATTCTTATTAAATAATATTTTTTAATATTTTTTAAATATAATTTTTAAGATTAACTAATATTTTAATTCTTTTTAAAAAAAAAACAAAAATCAATTTTATATTAATAATTTCAAATTTTAATAATTAATAATACAAAAATTTATTATTCCTATTTTTATTAAATTCAAATTCAAATTTGTTAAATTTTTATAATAAAATAATTATTTCTTATATTTTTCAAAAAACCTTATTATTAATAATGATAATCTTGAAAATTATATAAAATAATATAAATATAATCTGTTATAAAGTTTTTGGATTTTTTTTAAATTTATTTTGACTTATAATTTTGTAAATAATAAATAAAACAAACAATATTTATATATTTTTTATTATATAATAAAATTATTATTAAATTTAAATTTAAAAACAAAAAGTTTATTAAAAATAATAAATTTTTAAATTATTTTAATAAATAAATTCATTAGATAATAATTAATAAAATTATATATATAGACCTGTAGGTCTATAGTGTAGTGGTTAACACTCCACATGTTAGATCACAAGATACCGGTTCAATCCCAGGTAAAGGCGATTGAATAGAACCTATATAGTATCTGGCACTATAACCTGTTATGTGCTGTTTCTTATGCAAAGCCATTTCACATGCTGATCCAGTGGGCGTTGAGATTGTGATCTCCTAAAAAAAGGTGACGAGGTGCGACGATCATCCAGTTGAAGCATAATGATCGCCAGAAGTTGTCCTATGATGGTAAGACTTAATTACCGAAGTAAGAAGACCTTGAAGCTAGTGCAATGAAGCCGGGACCACCTGCATTCCTGGTCTGGCTACCATGTGGTGAGACAGAGTATATAGGAGTTGTGCCCTGCTTGATATTTATATCCCTAGATTTGGCAGCTTACACCAACCGGCCTGTCTGGAGTGTCTACTAGGAGTTTAAGGGAAAAACCCTTAAGGAGTCGCGCCCCACTAGGTCAAAATGATCCTTAGATTTGGCAGTCAGTGCCAACCAGCAGTAAAACCGGAGCATTCACTAGGGAGGATATACTTGTGTTGAAGGTTCCAGTTATCAAATGCAGCGTGTGCACGGTGGAGGCATGATGTGATAGGTACTTACTTAGGCAATTATAGAACTATCACATAGCGATAAAAGCCAGGGTATGGACCCATCTCCAAGATGTTAATTAGTATTCTGATAAAAAGGATGGGTTGCGTGGATTAACATTAGCAATAGCTAATAGACCGTTCATGTATAGGTAATTGTGATCGTAATTGAAATATCAATAAATCCATATGTGTATCGCAACTTAGCCTTAAAAAAAAAAAAAAAAAAAAAAAAAAAAATTATATATATATACATATATATATATTTCATTATTTTTTTATTTAAATATCTTATAAGTTAATTATAAATTTTTTTAAAATCTTTAAAGTTTATTTTTTGTTAAAAATCCATATATTAATATTTGAATCTTAAAAAAATTTTTTTTATATAATAAGAAATAGATATACGTATTTATATTAATAATTAATCAATAAGTTTATTTTAAAAAATTTATTTAAGTTTATCAAAAAACAATAATTGTATTTAAAAATAAATTGAATTCAAATTTTTATTATAAAATATAATAACAATAGAATTTTTTAATTACGTAATTTTAATCTTTAAATATTTAAATAATATATATTGTATATACAGTATATAATATAATATAATATATTATTAATTAGTTATTAAGTTGTAAGTTTATTTATTTAAAATTTTTCATCCATATTCTTTGATAAAAATAGGGACAAATTAAATTAAATAACTTATAATTAAAAATAAATTACAAAAAATAAACTTTCAAAAAATACTTATCTTTATGTAATCAATCCTAGTAATATTTAATATCTTTAAAACACGAATTTACAATTTATTCAAAAATTGTAGATAAAAAAAAAAAATGTAATGTGTCATTCTAGAACATTTATTCAACGTAAATTATCATTATCACTATAGTATTATCAACTTTGACATATGACATAATCCGAAAACCATATATCGAAACAATGCAAGTGCAACTGTATGTATACTCACAATTGCTGCACAATACTGTCAATACTGTACGGGAAACACGCCATAATATTACAATGCCTTTCATTTAATATGTTTTATACCATTGTCAAATTAATTTTACTATTTATTTTTAATATACTATACTTTATATCATACACAACAAAGAATCTTCGCTTATGGCACAAGTATTCTTATAATTTATCGCTATTAGCAGGAGTCTTAAACTTCATGGAACACCAAAGAGATGTTTCTTAAGTAATCTTCAAATAGGCGTCAGGTGCTGCCTTGTCACAACCTTTTTTAAGGATTAACAAGTAACACATTGCCACATACGATATCTTTGGCATAATAATAATTAAGGTTTTGTTTCACCCGTCTGTGCGCGGGGGAGTATGACCAATCTAATTGTTCGTTGTTATAAAAGAAGTGCCTTCAAATTCATTAGGATTCAAAAAATGTCTTCTTTGCACGAATGGCAGCCAGCGGGACCGGAGGATAAAAGATCCCCTTGTCCAGCATTAAATTCTTTGGCCAACCATGGATATCTGTAAGTGCAAGTCAAATCTTTCTTTTCTTTTTTCAGAAAAGGTTTTTGAAGTCAAATTGTTTATTTCAGGCCTCGTGACGGTCGGGACATTACACCGGAACAACTTGAAAAAGTTCTACAGAGACAACTTAATTTTTCATGGTTCACATCGTTTATGCTGACTCGACTTTCTTTTCTTGTGATAGGAAAGACTTTAGCCGGAAAATTGTAAGGTTTTTAAACCAATTTTTCAATGGTTACTTTATATTTATTTACCTCTCAATAATAAATAAAATTTAGAGACCTTGATGACTTATATAAGCACAACGCAATAGAACATGATGCGTCCCTTACCCGAAACGACTTTGCCCTTGGTGGAAGTCATCAAGTTAACCCGAAACTAATCGATCATCTGTTATCATTTAATGTTGATGGAAAGATTGGGGTGGAGTCTTTATCAAAATATCGTATAAACAGGATTAAAGACAGTGAGGAATCAAACAAGGATTTTAAATATGGTTTTAATCAAAGAAATTCCGGTTCCTTTGAAATATCACTCTTACTGTCAACTCTCGGAAGTGAAACAAACAGAATAGTTGATGTAAAAAATGTGGATGTTTTTTTAAGGAAAGAAGGATTTCCGGAAGGATGGGAGAAAGCAAAGAATGCAATAACGATTCCATACCTCTTTTCTACATTCAGAAAGGCACATAAACTCCTGAAAGAAAATGAAAAGAAAGAAGCATAGTATAGTGAAGAAAAACGTTTGTTTCAAGTGCACATTATTGTGTCTTTCTTCCAAGTTACGGTAGAAACTTTCTTCATTAAAATGGTGTGTGTGGTTGGTTGGACGTTAGATAGTGTAATTTTTATGATACTGTATTCTTAAAATGCCAAACTATAAATATCAATTTTATAACACGTCAGCAACTTTTGCAAGCAACCTTTATTCATTGTAATTAATTATGAATTTACAAAGTATCAGGATTAAGCTTCAAGATTACTCGCATATCAGAAAATAGACTCGAATTTCCTCAAGGAAACACTCGTGAGATTATATACTACACGACGGATATGATGACTAACGGAATTAATCGAATTCATATATAAAATTACAAATCTTCTTTTCTATATTTCCTATTAAAAAATGTCAAAGCATTCAAAAGAATCCTCGGATGATTCCAATGAATCTTCCAAAAAGTCACGGAACCTTTTTCAAAACGCCATTGATTTGCAATTCGCTGTTCGTCCGAACTTCGGTGTGAATGGAATTCGTTTTAAAATTAAGACTAACAATCTTAGAATTCTTGACGTAATGTTTTTCTTTGCAAAAATTTCAAAAATTTGTCTCGTCCCTTACTAAATCTTTGTTTTATGAAAAGTTTCAACAAGAATCGCTATATGTGTATAAATTTGTTGTGATCTCGGTATCCCAACCCATCAAACCTCCGTTGGCATTCAAGATTTTTTCATCAATGGGCTTGCAGAACATCTTTGCAAATGCGTGTCCGGTTTTCGACGGGAGCTCGAGTATTTACTCTTGCCAGCCTTTACCAATTGGAAATGACGGAGAGGAACAAGTCTCGGTAAACTAGACTAAATTATCTTTGTATTTCATTTTTTTTTTTTCATTTTTTCCTTAATATATTTCCGCCTTTAAGGTCATCCTCCCTGCGGAAGGGAAGATGCGAGCCAAAACTTTCACGGTAACTATATGCAAATCGACACAAATTAATTTACAAACCATCAAACATTATGTGAGTGGTCAAGTTCCCTTTACGGGTGAAGTACAAACGTGCTTCGCGTTCTTAAACACGGTGTTGAACTATAAGTCCCGAAACAAGTTCCTTGTCATAAAGAATGGGATCTTTCCGGAGTTCGGTGGTCCACCAAAGATTCTGGCGAGTGGCATCGAACTTAAACATGGGTATTGTCAGTCCGTCCGTCCGGGAATGGGTGAGTTCTTCATGATCTTTTTCTTTCGAACGTCTTCAGATGTTAAAATGGATTTTTCTCTTCTTTAGGACAGTTGATTGTAAATGTGGACGTATGTGCAGCTTGCTTATATCCTGCTGGTTCGTTGCTTGAATTTGTCAAAAATGCTTTGATGAAGAGAAACGTTAATGAATTAAAAAGAGGTATTAGTGACACGGAGAAGAAGCAGCTAGAACGCGTGAGTGAGAGATAATGAATATCACTTTTTGAAAAAATAAATGGATATATTCACAAACAAATTTTGGAAATAAATGTATTCAGGCTCTGAGAACAGTTCAAATACACGTGATCCACAGAGGAGACAAACCCAAAAGGCTGAAAATCGAGCGCCTGTCGTCCCAGGCAGCTGACGACCTTATATTCGATAAAGACGGACAGAAAGTGTCCGTGACACAATATTATTACAATCAATACCATCGTCGTCTTGAATTCGGATCTTTACCATGTGTTCTTGTGAAAAGAACTAGTTATATACCAATTGAACTATGCGAAATTCTGCCTGGTATGTATCGCGGAAAATGGTTCTGTTTGGATGTTCCACTTATACTGTATTTCTATTTTTTCAGGGCAGAGATATGAAAAATCTATCGATGACAAAGCCAAGGCAGACATGATTAAATTTACTGCTCTTAAACCTCGTGAAAGATTCGACAGTATCGACCGAGCTATCAGAGACCATTATAAATACAACGAGGACGAGAATCTACGCGATTTTGGAATTGTGATCGAACAAAAAATGATCGAAGTTGAAGGTGAATCGAAATTATTATTATTTACTTATTTATAATAGAAATATGTTCATTCGTGTTAACCGAAAACTTCGTCAGGACGACTCTTGGATCCTCCGATTATTACTTATGATAAGAGAAGTCAAGAGTCGGAGTTTCCACCTAAATTCGGGAGGTGGAATTTGATGAACAAAATTTTTCCTCGAGTATATACTGCATTATACATTATATTCGCATTTGCTATCGAAGCTGTCATAGAATTCCCGAACTTTATTCCATTGATTTCTTAGGCTCGCGCCCTTGAGAACTGGAGCATTCTTGTCTTAACGAGAGACCCTCAACATGTGGTAGAGAATTTTATAAGAGAATTGATAAAAACTCTGAACGAAAGAGGGATCGTAAGTCTATTGTAATTTCTTGTTCAGTTTAAATTTTGAAAAATGATTTACAGTTTGATCTTTTTCCTTTTTTCCGCTAGATCGTTCCAACTTTTCCAAGTATTTGCAATGGAAACCCTCAAGGAAATTTGAGACAAGTAAGCTATGATTCAAAAAATTTTTTATAAAACATTTCAATCACCAACACTCCGTCCTCAATTATAGTTGCTTGCTGTTGCGTACGAAAAGGCGCGTGTTGATAACAACGCAAAAACCAACATCATCTTAGTTATCATTCCGAAAAAAGCGTCCCAACCTTACGGTGCGATCAAAAAGATAGCCGATACCGAATTGGGAGTTGTCACTCAGTGTATTGTTGCTGACAGACTAAGAAGGTTTAAAGATAAAGGTTTATTATCAAACATTTCTTTAAAGATAAACGCGAAGTTGGGGGGACGTAATTGTTGCCTTGGACAAAATCAATTAACATTTGTGACAGAAAGACCTGTAAGTTTTTAATATATCATTCTTTGTTCTTATGCTTCAATAATCTTGATCTAAATTCTTTTTCTCCAAGACGATCATCATGGGTGCTGACATTTCGCATCCTGGTCCTGGACAGACCGATCAACCCTCGATTGCGGCAGTGTGCGCTTCCATGGAAATCACCGGGATGGTAGGGATTGCATTAAAAAATTTTATCATCTAATCAAGAAGAATTCTGATATACAGTATAAATATATTTTTTTTTGCTGAGTAGGTTTACTGTGGACGCTACAGTACAAACCGAGAAATTCGAAATGAGACAATTGAGCAGTTGGAAGATGTTAGTTCGCTTTCTTTTTTGAATAATTTTTGCATCAATTGTTTAATGTGACTCTTTCTCGAAATTTTACAGATGACATGCGATTTGCTCAAGTTTTTCCTGGACAGGACGAACATGTTACCCGAAAGAGTAATCTTTTATCGGGACGGCGTTAGCGAAGGGCAGTTTCGCGCCATCCTTAATAGGGAAATCATGGCGTTGAAAAAAGCCTTTGAAAAAGTATACAAGAATAGATTTCCCACTTTAACATTCGTGATTGCGCAAAAAAGGCATCATACGAGGTACAAATATTGGTTTGTTGTGAAAAGACATTGTTTATACAAATTATTTTTTAATAGGTTTTTACCCGTCGATCAAAGAACCTTTGGTGATAGAAATGGTAATTGTCAACCAGGCACTTGCGTTGATAATGAAATTGTCAATCAAAGAGAATTTGACTTTTGTGAGTATCGTAATATTTTTCAAAAGGCGTTGCTCATCATATAAAAAATGAACTCCTAAAATTTTAACTTTCCTTCTCACAGACTTGCAAAGTCACGCAGGCATTCAAGGTACTGTTCGACCTACCCGCTATTTCGTTCTCTATGACGAAAATAAATTTTCGGCCGATGATTTCCAACGATTGACTTATAGGCTCTGCTATCTATACACAAGGTAAAAACGTTTCTTCTCTCTCTCTCTTTTCTTTGTGGAATTAGGTTTTCTGTGTTTTTTACCATACACGATAAATTTTTGCTTGTGGACAGATGCACCCTCTCAACATCCATTGTCCCGCCGATCTGTTATGCTCATCTTTTGGCGGCTCGTGTTAGATTGTATCCAAGAGATCAAGTCGTTCGTGATGATGATGACGGATATAATAAAGAGAATAGGAAAGTTACTTTGCATCAAAACGAAACCGCTAGTAATAGTGTTAACAGTTTCGAGTGTCCACCGGTCTCTCCGAATTTAGCAAAGACAATGTATTTTGTTTAATCAATCTTGCGGAAATTTATTATAACACTTTCCTGCTTTATTTGTTATATAAAATAGATTTGCATATTTAGCGCAATAAATATATTTGTATATATACAAGTGTACGCTGTGGTAAACATTCAGAGCATTGTTTACGAAGCGGATGAATTGTCTTCTTTTTTCTTAATTGGATTAGAAAGAAAGGAAAAAAGAAAAAATTATAAAGCGAAAGTGTAATCAGGTCAACATATTTTTTTTGATATACAATTTGGAAGGATAATTTCTTGAAATAATTGGTTTATATAATACATAAATAAATAACTATATTTTTTAATTTACAAGTTTATAAGTTTTCCGAGCTTTTTCTATCATGCAGCAATATAAATTTTCACGTTAATGTCTGGTCAAGTATCGTTCAATTAGAAACTAACAAACAATTACCTTCAACATTCCAATCTTAGCATTAATTTTACTTTTCTTTGTGGATTTATGAGACGAACGATCGTTTTGATCCGGATGTTTCTCTCCACTAACTCCATCAGGGCCAACCTCTCTCGAAGTATACAACACATTAATGATGTTCTTATTACGATCGAAGGAGGAAGGATCGTTTGCGGTTGAATCGGTTGGTGTATTATAATGAGGACTTTCATCGTTGGAAGTCGAATTTTTAGGTGATGTTTTGATTTGAGGCACGTGATTCTGCATTGCGCGACCGTTGATAGAATTATTCTCGGTATTATGATTTTCCTCATTATATGACATGTTTTCAGGAGACGTTGTGATCGGAGACACGTAGTGGTGCGTTGCGCGACCGTCGTTTTCGGACGGTTTGATGTGAGTCACATGATGATTCGTTTCGCGACCGTTAATAGAATCGCTCTCGGACATTTTTATGGGAACAACATGATGCTTCGTTTCGCGACCGTTAATAGAATCGCTCTCGGACGTTTTTATAGGAGTCGCATGATGCTTCGTTTCGTGACCGTTAATAGAATCGATCTCGGAAGATGGAAATGTATTAATGTTATAATCACCGTTAAGATCGAAAGGAATTGAATCTTTGGATAGAAATGGTGTAGACGAAACATTGTTGCTTGACTCTTCATTTTCTCCAGCTTTATTTCTAAAACCATTATTCTCTACATTATCAGAAGTAGATTTCTTGGGCAAGCTCTCATCGTTGACCGCATACACATGGGATTCATTTGTTCCTTGTTGAATATTGTTAGAGGATTCGGATTCTGCATCATTCTCAGTCACAGACCTGACGTCATTTGTATTCTTTAAATCTTGAGGAGGTTGAGATTCGAGTATCGGAGTCATGTCTCTTCCGATTCGATCGGATTTGGGTGTAGTTGGATATCCTATTTTGACGGAGAAAGTCGAGCAGGTTTCAATATCCGAACAAGTACACGTTCATATTACTTACCACCAGGGATGTCTTCGGCCTCCAATTCTTGAATGAATACGTTCGTGGGCATCTTTATTTTGTTGTAAAGTTTTTCTTCAATTTCGATTATATGTATACTAGAATATGAGTTTTTAAAGATTTCTTGGTGATTCTGGAGGTGATTCATAATTTCCTTTTATACATACTTTTTCGATCAACGAACGCAACAAGTTATGCCGGCTTTGATGACGTATATTACCTCATGATGATGATATTTCAACTGTTTAAATTAAACAAATGAATTTGACATAATATCTATGTCATTATTTAATAATACGTGTCACAATAATAAACAAACATTACGATATATAAGCAATTTAACTTGATTTAGATTTTCTTGTGTTTAATTGTAAATTTTTAGTTAATCGTATATCATAAATCAATATATAATTACTATGAATATAATAACACAATATAATAAAATGGTTTCATTTATCTTTTGGTTTTTCTTTCTATTAAAGAGTATCAGTGAAAACATGGTTGTTTTATAAGTTTAATCGATTGATTAAAAATTATTGAAAATAAAATTTTTTTAATTATAACAAAAATTATAATAAACAAACAAATAAAATAATCTACTATTATAGGGGAATTAATCGTAACACGCGGATAAACAAAAATAAACTTGTTTTTATACAAAAATAAAATCAAAGTTCTATTTAATCCGTAAGAAAATTTATTGTTAAAAGCAAAACCCATCTTAACATTAAATCACCTTCCTAATCAATGTGACACTCGCTATTACATGATTATCACCGGTTAATTCGCCCAATTCTTTCACCTCTTTCGATCGTAACACGTGACAACCCGCGACACTACGAAATAAAAAATTAATTTTCAATTTATAATTAACTTAAATTGTATAATTTAAAGTTAATTAAATATTTATATAAATTATAATTTTTTTTTAAAGAATATTATATAATGCCTTTTTCATGTAAACAAGTCTTGTATGTATAGTATTTTTCTTTTTGCGCATTATTTTGACATTTAAAATTTTATAAAATTTGATATGTTTAATAATAATTAATTAATAATTAGATTGAGTATCTTGAACTAGGTTTTTAAAGATTTAACATGATACTTTAGACGTGCTTCAAATTTGGCAGGTATATTATGACGTAGCGCGCCACCTTCATTTTATACGATATATAACATAATTATTAAAGAAAATATACTGTCCGTATCTAATATGTATAATTATTTCCTTTTATAATGTGGACGGTACATTTATGATATATTTAAATCTACTGGTGATAATATAATTTTTGATTTCAAATAAAGTTTAAGGAATACTTAACGTTGCATATTCTTTTTTACATATTTGACTTGATCGTTATTAATAAGCACATAATAAATGACAGAATTATATAAATTAGAAGGTAAGAAGACGACTTCTCATTCATTAGTCGAGACAAACTGTGTTTAACCATAAATTGTCAAATTCAAAAATATTCAAAATAACTTAACCAAGAAAAGACATAAAATAGTAGATTAGTATAGCGTAATTACAAACCCATATAAAAGAAACAAATCAACAAAGAGTCTAAGCGTCTTAAGTATTATTCATAATATCATAAAGCTTTCTGCGTATCCTATTTTCCTCATAAAAAATTCAATTATACTGTATTTATAAACAGTGTATATGTCTCGAATAATAGATTTAAATAAAATACTATATTGTGATTAAACGAGTTTGTTCGCATGTACGACTATCGAATGATGTATCCGATTTACTTCATTTTCATTAATTTTCTTAGCAAGTCCACATACTGTATATAAAATAACCAAATATTGCAACAGGTCGTTTTTCTGGATCAACAATTTTTATCAATTCAACAAGGGGCAAGATCTTGAATTTTCTGTTGCTCCCCGTTACAAATTCCTATTGCAATGAGTTTTCTCTTTTTCTCATCATTACAATCAACATCTTTGTATGTTTCTTAGTACGAGCTCTACATAAGGAAGAATCCCGTATATTTTACCATTTTTCTTCCTAGAATCGGCTGATTTGCATAAATCAAATCTGTTATATAGACCGCATCATTCTCATTCGAAAAAATATATATCAAACATAATGTAACATTATTTAATTTATGAAGGATTTTTATCTATATTTAATATAGAATAGTTATTAACAAACCAACTTTATTAAGTATTGTATTCCATTACAATAATATGAATGGACATTAAAAAAATTTTATTGCAACAAAATTAATTGTTACCTCATGGACATTATATAAACGCACCAGTGCAAACCCTTTCTTTCTTGAATCTTAATTGATCAAAGATCTGATATATCTTTCATCTGATTCAGCCGAATAAACTTTCGCAAAATCACATTTTTAATATTTTAAGTATTGAATATGTAATACATTCTAGTACTTTAAATGTGTTTGTGGCTTTTGATTACGATTTTTGTATGAGTTCATAAAACATTTCTACTTCCGCCTGTCTGTTTTTAAACAAGGATAATTGTAAGAAAAACATCAAAAGTATTTCATTTCTCTTTTACATTGGTTGCATTTACCTAAATATGATTACACCCTAAAAATAATTTTACTTAATGAAAATATACTATCATATGTAATAGTTGATTAGAATTTATTCAATAAATATTAATCAGTATATTGTACTTACTGTCTATAATCGTTATTTATTAAAAACATAATTCAGATCAATTCAAACTCCCTTAGCTTAATAAGTGTTGAAATTAGTAAAACATCTTTGATATACTGTAAATTTATTCGATAAAATATTAATGAAAATATACTGTATTTGCAATCAGCAATCATTTTTATGGAAAAAATATAACAGATAAATTAAACCATTTTAATATGAATAAACTTAATGAAATTTGTTTCCGTTTGTAATCGTTGACAAAGTAAAAAATATAACTCGGATAGTTATACAACTTCAAATTTACTTAAATATCAATGATATATCTTCACTCTAGAAGTAAAAAATGCAGTAAGATTTGATTACAAAAGATTAATGAACATCACTTTAAGACCGTTTTAATCATTTTTTAAATGCAAATGTCGTAATCAATATACAGTATATTCATATTATAATAGCGTATCCAAAGTTCCGGCAAAGTATAAAGTTAGATATCATTTATAACTATTTAACACAACCATTAATTAATGTATGCTAAGTTAGATTGAGGCTATTTAGAGAGTTATTCTTTGAAAGGACAAGAGTTATTTTTTTAAAATTTGCCGAATAACACTATTTTAAATTAGGTAATGTTTTATATTGTAGACTTTTAGAATCATGTATTAGATAAATTTTTTATTAATTAAACATTACCATATTTTTAAAATAAATAGCAAAATGTTAACTATCAATTTATAATTTTATTTTGAAGATTCGTTTATACAGTAGAATTAATTAATGTATCTTTAGTAAACACTTCATATATCTTTTGTCAATATATTTATTACTAATCTCTCTGTTAAAATTGTTCTTAAACATTATAATAAAAATAATTATACGTATTAGTTTATAATTCGTTTATATTAATAAGAAATAATATATTTTTCTAATACAATATTATATATTTAAAATATATAAATTTATATAATTAAAATTCAAATATATACAATACATACAGTAATCCAATTGATATACTCTTTCCGCTGATCCCTTTGCCAACACAAAAAACAGATGTTCCAAAGAAATTTTTATATTTCTTTGTAATAAAGTCTATACACTTTCATTAACAACACTCACACCAAGAGACTACAGTCTCCCACACTTGTTCCTTTTTTTCTTTGACATAAACTTCTTGTATTTCTGCAAGTAAATATAAGAAATACCTACCTATAAAGTTAAAGGCAAGAAAA